GGGGGGGGGAGTGCTATCCTTCTGGCAGCCGTGAGAACTTCCAACCTCAAAAGGTCTAGCCCACATGTACACTGTAGTGAGCTGAATAATAGCCACACAAGATATCAAGCCACAACTTCTGAAGCATATAAATATTAAGAGAAGAGTTTCTTTGCAGATGTTACTAAATTAAGATCTTAAGATGGGGAGATTCTCCTGGATTTTCTGGGTGGGCTCAAAATGCAATCACAAATATCCTCTTAAGAGGAAAGTGGGGGGATGTTTGACACACACAGAAGAAGAGAATGCATGTAATTAGGAGACAGAAATGGAAACGATGCAGACACAAGCCGGGGAATGCCAGCAGACACCAGAAGCTAGAGGAAGCAATGAACAATTTCTCTTCTGGAGCCTCTGGAAGCAACACAGCCCTGTCAACACTGTGACTTTAGCCCAGTAAAGCTGATTTCTCACTCATAACAGGCTAGATGCGTGTGTTGTCTTAAGTCATTATGTTGGTGACAGCAGCCATGGGGAAACTAACACACATGGGAACCCTCATCCCAGCTCTTCCCACTAACTGCTATGCTAACTCCTAGCCAGGGTCTTTTCTTTTCTCTCTCAGACCATTTTTGGGCTTTCTTGGGAGTCACTTTGCTCTCCTCAAAAAGTTATAAACCTTTTCAGACATCGGTCTCAAAATCCAAAAGAAATCTTATGTAATGGGCAGTCTATCCTGACTCTGTGAACGAATCCTACAGGATGGATGATTCAGATGACAATGACCAAGAGTCCAGAGGGGAGGAGCTGAAAACCACAAAAAACTATTCCCGGCCCTTGCAATCTGGGAGTTTGTATGGTTGTATTTTAGAGTTGTTATGGACTTCTTTTCATCTCTCATTTTAATTGTTAATACTTTCTCTTGTTAATTTTGATGAAAAATACAGGAAAGTTGGGAGCCAATGTGGCAAAGAACTGAGGACAGCCTCTAGGAACTGCTTACCCCAGCTTCCAGCCAATAGCTAGCAATGAAATGATGCCCTTATTCTTAGAATGGCAAAGAAATTAATTTTGCCAACTTGAACGGACATGGAAATGGATCCTTCCCCAGTCGAGCATTCAGATGATACCCCAGCCTCAGCCAAGGTTTTGCTTGCAACCTTGTGAAGAACCCAGCTAAATTGTGCTCACATTTCTGTCCCACAGAGACTGTGAGATGATAAATAAGTGATTTAATCTTTCACTTCTTGGTAATTTGTTATGCAGCAATAGATAGCTAATATTGATGTCCTTTATCAGCTCAAGAATGCTTTCCTTCTTTTTCTAATTCACTTAGATAATTTATTTTTATTGTCACAATTTAATTTGTCACATTGTTTTTCTGCCTCTATTGAGATAATCTTATGACTTTTCTGTTTTAATCTGTTAATATGGTTAAATAAATTAATTTCTTTTCAGATGTTAATCAACATTGAATTTCTGAAATAAATCCTTCTTGGTCATGTTATATTATCTGTTTATATAGCATTGGATCTAATATTTTACTAAGAAATTTTGTATCTATTTCCATAAGTATTATTAGAATGTAATGGTCTCATTTTTTAAAAGTGCTTCTCAGGTTTCATTTCATTAAGATCACTTTTACTTTATGTTTTTTAAAAAAACAATTAATTGGCATATATTTTATTACATCACTCCATCTGCTCTGCCATGATTACAGCATACCACTCTGCTAAATCCTGGACGGAAAAAACAAATTGTTCTATAATTATCATTCCAAGGCATATTCTATAAGTGAACTTATTTTTAATTATATACATATTTATTTTCTTCATATCACCATTAGTCCATTAATAGGCTCATTACTTCCTTTCATCTTCTGGGCCAGCTATTGTGCTATATTTGGGGTACAAGAGGTAAATAGAATTAAACATAATCCCTGCATGCAGGGAGCCAGCTGTCCAATGGAAGAAACAGTCATTAATCAAACAAATAAAATAAAACTAGCCACCTTAAATTTCTGAAATGTATTTCTCAGAGTTTGTATTTGAAAGGGAGTTTGGGCTGGGACTCTTTATTTTATTACTTGTTTGTGTGTTTGTTGAAACAATAGAGTAACTTTATAATTATACCTATTTTTTTCCCATTAATATGACATTTTAGGATGTTAGAATTCTCATAAAAAGAAAACAACACAGAATATGGAATCTATAGTTGGTAACTGTGCCTTGGTGACTGAGTTTATTCTATCAGGGTTTCCATTTCGCCCTGAACTGCCGATTGTCCTATTTTTCATGTTTCTGACATCGTATGGTATGATTTTAATGGGGAACATTGGATTGATGATGTTAATCAGGATTGATCCCTGCCTTCAAATCCCCATGTATTTTTTCCTTAACAACCTATCCTTTGTAGACCTTCCTTACACCTTAGTCATTGTTCCTGAAATACTGGTCAATTTTCTCTCAGGAAACAAATCTATTTCTTACTATGGCAGTGCCTTGCAGTTTTATTTTTCTGTGCTTTTACAGGCACGGAATCCTTTATCTTTGCTGCTATGGCCTACCATCGCTATATCACCATGTGTAGCCCTTTACGGTACACAGTTGTGACGTCTCGGGGAACCTGTGTACGGATGACTGTGTTGTCATACGTTGGAGGCAACATGAGTTCCTTGGTTCACACACCCTTTGCATTTTTTCTGAAGTGCTGTGATAAAAATGTTACTAACCCTTTTTCCCGTGATCTCCCTGCCCTGCTTAAGCTTTCTTGCATGGATACATCAATTAATGGGTGGCTTCCGGCCACATGGGGCAGCTCAGCAGAAATTATGTGCTTTATCACCACCATCATCTCCTACTTCACCCACCTCTCAGCCTTAAAGATCTGCTCTCAGCGGGAGGAGGAAGGCCTTCTCTGCATGTGCCTCTCACCTGGCTTCTGTCTTTGAGCGAGAACTTTTCAGATAGCCAGGGAAGCTCAAGCAGGACACTGAGATTCCTCTGTTCTCCAGGGTGTACTGTTTCTGGGATTCTGAGGCGCAGTGGGGAGAAGTATAGAGGGAACGGAAAAAACAATAGGAGATGCTTCTTGTAGTTATAATATCTCCATATTAACCCATGGCTTTTGAAATTTTACCTATGAACTAGGTACTAGCTTGAGCAGCAACATGGCAGGAGTGGAATTGACTTAGACTGAAGCCCAAGCAAAGATGGGTGTCAGCCCCAGAAGTATCAAGATAGCATCTAACTAACGCATTCTCCCAGAAGACAACTGAAATGTATTTAAAATCAGATTTCATCTGCACCTTAGCTCCTGGTTTCAGATCTAAATCCAATATGTGAACTAGAGAAAACTAAAAAGAAGGGTGAAAGTAGAAGGCTTTAGTGATCCTGATAATGTTCTGTTTCTGTATCTGGGTCCTGGTTACTGGGGTATTTAAAAAAACAAAAAAAACAAAACAAGTTGTATTCTTACCACTTAAGCATTTTCTATATGTACATGCCGTGCCATGACTCACCTACCTAAAGAGCAGCTAAAATGAAAAAGATTCACAATATTAATAGCAAGTACTTGTTTGAATGCCAAATTACTACAGCTGTCACCCATTGACAGAATCCAGAATTGATGTTCAACTTTGGAAGACTGTATGGCAGTTATCTGTTATAGGTGTCCCTAAAATTCCATTCTTAGTTTTGTCCCCAACAGAAATGAGAAACTATGTACTCCCAAAGCTTGGACAAAAATGATCAATGTGGGATTATTTGGGGTTTGACAAAAAAATATACAGTATGATTGTTCAGTCTCATATAAACGTAATGTTGAATAAAAGAATGCATGATAGGATAAAACCAGAATGATCTTAATTCTGTATACTTTATAAAAACTATTTGGCATATTGACATCAATTTGTGCCAGGGCCCACGGACAGCCTCTGAAAGGCTTGTGGTTTTCCGATTTTTGCTCAAGGTTTTGATGCATGGACATTTTAACTTTCAAATTTTACTTTCTTTTTAAAAACATATACACACATAACTTTCAAAGGGTTTCTAAAAACAAAGACTATTTACTATCAGTTTGTAGACAACTGCAGGACTTCATTATTAATTTTGAAATCTCTAACAGTTTCTCATACACACACATTTTCAAAATATTCCTATAAAGTTAATAAAGCATAGGACTTCCATAGAATAATTCATTAAATTATTATCTTCTATTACCAGAAAGTACTAGCTTCCTCATATATATAAGATGTGTTAGGAACTCACAGTCCCTACTTTCCCTGTTTCCTGCAACAGGAAGCCTCACTAAACGTGGTTTTCCTTGGTAGCTTTGCCATGCACTGAACTTATGTGATAATGGTCATTGCCTCTGGGCCAGACAACCATTCCCTGGAAGAAGCAGGTAAGTAGGCAGTTATCTGTGCAGTATTATGTTTGGGGGCACCAGTGATATCAGGAAAGCCATGTAGATACAGAAAATTTTTCTCAATTGTTTCTCTTGGATGTCTTAAATTCTATTTTAAATCTTTCCCCTCACCCCACAGTTAAAGACAGCCATTCTACTAGAACACAAGCCCATTGGGAAGGAATTTGTATTACCCAATTTTCAGCAACATATTGCTACCCAGACTCCAAATTTAATGGGGACTGGGAGTTAGACTACATGTCTGGAGGGCTTCCATGTTTACAAAGGTGAAGTTGGGATCCTGCCTAAAGGAAGTGCAGCCTGAGGAAATTGGCATCCCTGGAGACAGGGAGCACCGGAGGGGAAAGTAAGTACAGGGGGAATCAGAAGAGAGTGACCAAGGATGACCCGCCTCCTCCCAACATGCTCCAGAGAAGCCGAGAATGGTAGTTAAGCTCTTGGGTCTCACCGACACAGCACTCTCTTGCATTTACCTGGTAAAAGATTACTTAGGTGGCTTTTTAAACCACCTAACACATTTTTAAAAGGCCTGTGCTTCTTTCTCAATTACTCAGGCTGCAGGAAATAACAGACGACAAGATCTATCATTATATCTGTCACTTATTCCTGAGAGACCAAGCGTTCAGCACCGGTGACCAGACACAGAGGTGGTGATATAACCCAGGCGGCTGAGGAGACAGCGCAGAGCCCTCGCGCAGGCAGATGGAACAGAGGAGGCCGCGTTCTGGAACAGGTGCTGCCACTGACTGCTGTTTTTCTAATTTATATTTTAGATTTCTTTAGTCTTTTTATCTGTGCTGACTGAAAGCATGGTATAAAACCTAGAGAGGGTGTGAAATATTAACAAACTTTTATTTTCATTGCTTTTAACAGTCTATTTTAAAGACATATACGGAAATAGCAAGGACTACAATGAAACGCAGGCATGGTTCGTGGAGGTGGTAGGACTTTTTTTCATTTTTAATCCCTTACCTGTACTTTTCTATATATTTTTTTTTTAATTTCTTTTTTTAAGGAAAGCACTTTTTTAAAGATGTGTGTACAGGGACAGATACTGAAATGAGTTTACGCCAAGGGTTTGGAGAACTGCTCATAGATCTCTATATCATTATTCAGATTTTCTCCTGTTTTCTACCCTCAACTGCACTCTCATTATATTCTCACAGAACAGAAGAGGTCATGCACAACATTACATCTAATGTAATTGATTGGATAAAATATAACAGCAGGATGTAGAATTCAATTGGCCTCCCAATGACATATTCTTCTAAAGCAAAGAGCATATTTTATAGATAGTCAGGGCAAACAGAATAGAAAAAAACAAGCAATATTTTGATTTTTAGGGAAATGGGGACACAGTTCAGACATGATTTCTCTCTGAGGTCATCAGACTCAGGACATGTGAGGACTTTTATCCTGAGTCTGACACATCTGTTCTCTTTGTGAATAGATCGTGTAGATTCTAGTTGATAAGAGAAAAGTGACTCACACAGGAATACATCAGCCTTTCTTACATCTCTGTCACCCTTGCTACCAGCATGGCCACGGTCAGGTCCCAAGCATTCTTCACAGTCTCGGCTGAACAGCAGCAGCTGCCCGAGGGAGCAAGGCTGGCCCTGGCAACCTCTTCTCCAGCAGCCATCACCCTCCCTGCCCCAGTGGGTCCTAAATCACAGGCTCTCTCTTCCCTGTTCATTGAGACTGGGAAGGACATGAGGGATTAATAAGGAAGTGGGGCAATGTGATATCCAGAAACCCACCATATCTCTGCCCACTCCACAATTGTGAAAGATGAGGGAAAATACAGCAATATATTCATTATTTGTACCTCTCACTTAACTCTATTTCTCTACTACAGGATATAACAATACTGAAAGAGCAACAATCTGGTCAGAAGATGTGCGTTACTGAACCAATGAATTTAAGAACTACTGCCTCAACTATGAAAGCATCAACTTCTTAATCTATAAGAAAGGAGTAAGAAAAATTATAAGTACTACATAGATTGGTATAGAAATAGCATGATTACATATAAAAAAGTGTGCCACAAACTCGGTACAGTGCTGTAGAAATGTGAGAGATATTGTCATTACCATTTACTGATTTATGTAATATAGCACATATTTCCAAATAGGTTTCCTTGGAGAGTCCTAGCATTGTCTACTTCTCTTTCTGATTACTAAATAATATAAAGAATCAGCAGTTTTGCTGTGAAGATAGACTATGTTAACCCACCCATTTTCTCCATGCCAGAGGTTTCCAGACCTGAGTGATGGCTGCTGAGAACTGCACTGTGTTGACTGACTTCATGCTCCTGGGCCTTTCTGGCAGACAGGATGTGCAGCAGGGGCTCTTTGTGCTCTTCCTGCTGGTTTATGGCATCACCGTGATCGCCAACCTAGGGATGATCCTGCTGATCAACACGGACCCCAGACTCCACACGCCCATGTATTATTTCCTGAGCAATCTGTCTTTCTGCGATGTCTGCTACTCCTCCACTGTGTCTCCCAAGATGCTGGCTGATTTCTTATCTGAGCAAAAGAGGATCCCGTATCATTTATGCTTTGTGCAGATGTTTCTTTTCGGTACCTTCGCAGCTGTGGAATGCGTCATGTTGTCAGTCATGGCGTATGACCGTTACGTAGCCATCTGCAGTCCGCTTCTTTATACAACTGCTATGTCCAGGAAGGCCTGCGTCCGGCTCGTGGCCGTTGCCTACGCCGCAGGCTTGATGGACATGACGATCTTCACCTCCTGCACGTTGCCATTATCACTGTGCAATTCCAACGTCATCAATCACTTTTTCTGTGACATCCCACCCTTACTGGCCCTCTCCTCCTCAGATACAGCCATCAATGAGATAGCGTTGACCGTTTCCTGCAGCTGTGTTGTGGGGACCAGCATCGTCACTGTCCTCCTGTCCTACAGCTACATCCTCGCCACCATCCTCAGGATGAAGTCCGCCGCGGGCAGGCGCAGAGCCTTCTCTACCTGCGCCTCCCACCTCACCGCCGTGGCCCTCTTCTTCGGCACGCTCCTCTTCATGTATTTCCGACCCAGCTCCAGTTACTCCTTGGACACGGACAAAATAGCCTCTGTTTTCTACACAGTTGTCATCCCCATGCTAAACCCACTGATCTACAGCCTTAGAAATAAGGATGTGAAAGGTGCCCTGAGAAAAGCAGTTGGCATGAAACTATATTCTGGGTGAAAGCATGTTCCCCCAGGAAGTTTTTATTTAGAGATATTGAGAGCTAAAGTTCAGGTACTTTGACACAGTGTCCTGTAGTCTCACCAGGACAATTCTGGATATTTCTTTACCTATCTTTGTGCCTAAATTGAGTGTGGGATACAGTCATTATTGATCTTAATCTCTTCAAACTAAAGAAGAGTAGTAATAGGTTTAATCTATTATTTTGCAATGAGGGTCTTTTTATACCGCTCTGCTCTGTTCATTGGTATGTCCTAGAGAGATGGGCGTAGTAACATCTCCCTCCATGTGAATTACATTTACCCTCCTTAAAGCTCCATTTTATTTAAACAATGGGTTTAATAAACTTGCTCAGCCAGAAGGGAGTTTAGTGGGTTAAGCTAGGGTTCTTTTGGTAGTCTTCCTATGTATTAGCATCATACTATAAATTTTCCATCATAACACTTAGCAGTAATAAGTAGTAAATAAGTAAGAATAAATTTAAATTCTCCTGCCCTAACTCAAAGTTCCATAAGTGCAAGGTCCTTGCCTATCATGTTCACCATTATTTCTACTTTGCTATTTACATTGCTTATTTTCAGGATACCATTCAAAAACATTCATAGCAGCAATATTTACAATAGCCAAGGTTGGGAAGCAGCCCAAGTATGTGAGTGGATAAAAAAGCTGTGGTTCATTTACACCATGGAATACTACTCAGCTTTAAAAGAGCACAGTCTTACCATGTGCAACAGCATGGATGGACCTGAAGATTATTACGCTAAGTGAACCAGTCAGAGAAAGGCAAGATCCATATCATTTCACTCATTTGTGGAATCTAGTGAACAAAATAAATTAACAAAGTGCAGACAGACTCATGGACACAGAAAACAGACAGCTGTCAGAGGGGAGGGAGTTGGGGGCTGGATGAGAAGGGTGAGGGATTAAGCAAAGAAAAAAGACTCATGGACGCAGACAACAATGTGGTAATTAGCAGAGGGAAGGGGGTGGAGGGAGGCAGAAGAGGGTAAATGGGGGATAAACGGTGATGGAAGAGACTTGACTTGGGTGGTGAGCACACGATGCAATATACAGATGATGTATTGTAGAACTATATGCCTGAAACCTGTGTTTTATTGACCAATGCCAACCAAATAAATTCAATTAAAAAATTATTGAATGAGTTAATGTGTGTCCCCTGCAAGACTGATATAAAAAGGAGGGTTTGTCAATGAAGAAGAAAAAACACTTTGTTTTATTTTATTCTAGTATGTCATCTTACACAAAATCCATCTGACCTTCTTTTGGCCTAAGCTGAGTAAGTGTCAGGGACAGGGATCATTTGATCTAGAGAACTTCTCGGATCCTCTATGTCTCCTCACTCTGCCCCAATTACATTAGCAGACATCCCAGGGTCAGCAGCTCCAGGTTTATATTGCACTTCATTGTCTTCACATCGGCCTGTGGATTTCCCTTCTGGCCCTCACTCTGATGAACAGATATGGTCCTAGTGACAACTGTACAGAGCTGCATAAATGAAGGATGGGGGTAAAGTAGCCAGATATTCTCTAATATCACTGGAAGAAAGGACTCCATCTCCCTTGAGGTGTCCATAGCATTGTATTAGTTAAAATTATAGAAAAAAACTAAAATGCACAATTTATAGAGTTTAAGTTGTAAAGGAATAATGATTAATAAATGTATGTATTTAAAATAAAATAAAAAACAAAGAACAAAGTTGTATTCACATTAGTATTCAATTTGCAGCAATTTATATTCACTTTCTTATCACCAGAGGTAGGGAATTTAGAGCCGAGAAGGTTGTATAAACAAAACCTGCTACTTCTCTACCACCCCAACCCTAAACCCCTTTGTCTTGTCAGTTCCTCAATTTTTCACATATTTATTGCTTTCTCGTCTAAAAGGTATATAAATTGCCTCCTTTGGTCACTTCTTTAAGTCTCACGTTTCGTTTGGGGCTCCTGTACTTGCAAAATTAAATTCAGTTTTTTTCCTCCTGTTAACTTGTTTTATATCAATTTAATATTAGGCCAATCAAAGAAAACAGAAGAGAAGAGGGAAAAAGTTTCCTGCCCCTACACAGTCAAAAACTCATTGCAGTGAGGGTGGTTGATGTGCAGTTGAGGGAAAGGAATCAGACAATGACCAATGGAAAAAGCTATTGTGAGATTGCCATATTTTTCAAGGGGAAGTGCAAGGGAAGGGAAGGAGGTGTTTCAGAAATGGAAGAAATGGGATAAACAATGAAAAGGGAAAGGTTAAGGTGGGTGATGGGTGGGCAGCTAAATGGCCATCTCAGATGGTGGATAGAAAAAATTGAATTTATTTAAGAAAGGGCCTGGGGAATAGGGATTTCCAAAGGGAAGAGCTACACAGCACTGAGTCAAAGGACACATGAGGGCAGCAAAAATATCCTTGGGACAGTGAGACAAGGAGGAGCATAGAAAAGTAACAGGAGAACCAAGGCTGGGCTGCTCTGGCTCACAGAGAAGTCAGAGAGAGAAGGGGCCTTGGAGACAGATTCAGGGGGTAAGCACTGGATGAGCTGCCGCTGCCCATTGCTCCCCCGGTTGCAGGTCTCATGGGGGTCCCCTCGGAAGGAAGAAGGGGGATGGAGATGGTGCTGGCACACTCCCCTCGTGGGGAGCAGGCGCTGGGGCCTTTTTCCTGAGAGTATATATCTCTTTCTTGCAGGTGGAAATCTTAGGGGAGGTCTCAGGGGAGTGTCTCAATAGAATATTCATCAGCTTTCCAGGGTCCTTGTCTACACTGGTTGATCGGTGCCAGGGTGGGGTCATTAGTTAATGTATCTGGTCCTGAGGCAGCCATGGTGCCACTTGTCTGGTTCTGCTGCTTTTCTGGGCCTGGAGGTGAAATGCAACTGAGGCCTAGATGTTATCTTTAGGGAGGAAATGCTCAGGGGGTCTAAACTGCATGACCAGGGACGTGCTAGGGGAGGATATGTTGCCCTGGGGACAAAGATCTTGATATCCCAGTTTTGCGCCTTGCTGGGCATCCAAGGCTTCCCGCCCTTGCGAGTCTCTGTTCCCCAGTTTCTGCACCTGGGCTTCTGCACCTGCCCATCTAACAAGAAGCAGATTGAACTCTGATTGAATTGGCCACCTCCTCTCACTGGAGAGTGTAGGTCCATGGTGGCCATGAAGCACAGCATTAAAATAAACTCTGGGAGAGTCTCACATTGATCACTAGTAGAGAGGGTGAAGAATTAAAGTTCAGCCTTTGCTAAAGTGGTTACAGCATTCACAGGGGAAAACACAGCACCGGAACCCAATTAGTCATATTCTCAGGACACAGAGACTGAGGGAGAGGCTTAGGGATTTGTCCCAACAGTCAGGAGGTAGAAATAAAGTGCAATCCGCCTATTGCTGACGTACCAGAGCTAAGGACAGAAAGACATGCTCTTTTCAGGTAGGTTTCTAAATGGCTTAATTTAAAGAATGTAGGAGGAAGGAAAACCTTACTTTTGGAAAAACGAAGAATCCAGATTTGAGAATTTTGTTAATGAATCATTTTATATCTGCTCACTCAGTTAAATAAACCTTTCATCTAATGGCCAAAGAGTGATATTTCTTTGTTAAACCTGTGTGAATTTGTCTTACCTCATTTGTCATTAGTATAAGAAAATTAAATATCTTATTTATATTTTAATAAAGGCTGAGAAGTAAACCATTACTTTTTATCACTGTCCAAGAGATATTGCTGTACATGTAAATTTAAGGTTTGTTCTTGTCTTTTTCAAATAATAATAGAGGTAACACATTAAAAAATATCAATATATGTTCATCCACACCATCATTTTTAAGTCTAGAAAAAAGAAAAATTAGACCAGTGCCCACATTCAAATTTTCACATATCAAAAGACACGCATAAACATAATGCAGACATAAAAACAAGACAGAATTCTATACATATCTCAAGAACATTTATTTTTTTCCTGTACCTATTTTCATTTAAATGGAAAAGACAGCTTAAAATAAAAAGATATGTAAATTTTCACATTTTATTTGGTTTTCACTTGTCTTTATCACATCTTTGGCTTGAAGAGGGATTTGTTCTTTGGCAAAGGTCAGTCATACAAATGGGTTATAAATGCTGGCCCAAACCAGTGAAGATGAGTGATAGAATAGTTCTGTAAAACAAGGTTCAGGTTTCAGTCAACACTAAGATGCCACACACCCAAACAGCACCATAAAAAATTTCATTTAGGTTAGCAAACGGATGGGGGTTAGAGAATGGGACATCTGTAATAGCATAAATAATAAAGTAAAAAATAATAAAATTAAAATAAAATTTTTTCATTTCCTATCATATGCAGTACCATTGCCAGTGATAAAGTCAAGTTTTTTTCTTTAGTGAAAACATGTAAAGCTATCTGTCCTGTTGGATATCTATTAGTGTTAAAGCTCAAGGACTGTCTCTGAAATGCTTATGTTCTTTTTTAGTTCAGGGTTTAGTTCAGGGATGTTTTCAGTCTGAAAATTAATTTGCTTATTTTAAAAATGATTAAAATTATACATATATATGTATATATAACTTTATAACATTTGATAATAGCAAAGGTTATTTACTATCTGATTGTAGACAACTGCACGATTTCATTATTAATTTTAAATCTTTAGCAGTTAATTTTATAAAATACGGTTTCAAGATATGCTTGTGAAATGAGTAAAGCATACTACATTCATAAAATAGTTAATTAAATGGTTATTTTTTTGGCTAAAACACTACATTGCTTATAGAACTGAGGTAGTTTTAGCAACCCACAGTCCCTTCTTTTTCTTGCAACAGGGAGCCTTAACTAAACCTGGTTTTCCTTGGTAGCACTGTCATGCACTTATATGACAATGGCCCAGGTCTCAGGATAAGACCACCATTTTCTGGAAGAAAGAGTTTATAACTAGACAATTGTTCACTTAGTATTATGCTCAAGGGCACCAGTGATACCAGGAAAGTCATGAAGATACAGATGTTTTTTATTT